CCGCAGCCGCGAGCGGGAGGGAGAGGCGCGTGGCTCCCCAGCAGCAGCAGGGATTCGGCCCACGCCCCCGCGCCACCCACCCAGCCCCTGTCCGCTCCGTGCTGCCCCGCGGGCTGCAGGGCTGGAGCAGCCTTCAGGCTGCACTCCCGGCCCCGGGTGCAGCAGCCCTCTGGCGCGGCGGGGGGGCTCACAGCTGAGCCCCCCCCGTCTCCCTCCCTTGCCAGCCCCCCTTTGCCCGCCTGGTGCCTGGGTGCTGGAGCTGACTCACCAGCTCCAGGATCCAGGCACCGCCGCCACCTCCTTCCTCCAGGCTTGCACCGCCATGCTACAAGCCTGGGAGGGAGGAGGAATGCTGGGGAAGAGGTGGGGCCAGGGCGGGGATTTGGGGAGGGAGCCAATGGGGGAAGGAGAGGGCGGAGCCGGGGCGAGGGGGGCCCGAGTGCCAGAGCGGAAGGGAAAATTTCTTCTTTGTCCAGTGTCCCGACCAAACATTGGTCGGTACGCGGGACAAAGAAGCAAATATCGGGACAGTCCCGATAAAATCGGGACGTCTAGTCACCCTACTTCCAGTCCTAGTCTCCCTCCCTAAGCTACTTATCCCATCTCATGTTCCCCACCCAGGCCCTCCCTAGCTCCTTGTCCCAGTCTCTATGCCCAACCAGTCCCAACCTGCCCCCTTCCACTCACAGTCACAGTTTCCTTCCCCCTGCAGTCCCAGTCTCTCTAAACTCCTTGTCCCAATATTCTCTTTTCCATCTCCCCATCCAACTCTTGGCCCCTCTGCATTCTAATAAAATGGCTTCCTTTTCCACGCGGCCTGGGTGTCTGTCAGGGAGGGGGGGCAATGTCACTGACAGAACAGGAGAAACAGGCTCCCTGCTCTCAGTTCCAGTGCTCCTGCCCAGCCCCAACCCTGACTAGAGCAGCTGGAAGCATCAACGACAGGGGAAGTCAGTCTGAGCTCCTGTAGCCCTGGGTTGGAATATGTGGAATTGCTCCATGGAGGTGGCAAAGGAGCAGTCCTGTCATGTGCAGAAGATGAGAGGGGACGGAACATGCTCTGTCACTCTGTGGGGATGGAACATGCACTTGCTGGTCAGTGCTAGGAGGGGATGCAGTATGCTCAGTGACAATGGACTCTTCAGAGATTTTAGTTGTTAAGCTCTAGCAAGTCTGTGCTGAGCATGTGCAAATTGTGATTTTTTCAAAGGCTTTTAATCTGGCCAAGTTTGGTTGGATCCTCACAGGGATAGCGAAAACCTGACACCCTCCTGCTCCAAATTTTAATCCCTGCCTGCTCCAAACCATGGGGGCACAAGAGCAGTTCTGAGAAAAAGTCTCACGAATTTTTTTAACATGGGAAAAACAAGGTAATCTAATTGTTAGAAACAGCTGAACCAATTTCACTGAATCCCACCCCACCCCCCAATCAGCCTGAGGCAAACACCCAGCATTGGCAATTTCAGCAGAAACAGTTAAAATCTGGCAAAGTTATAAGCAAATGAAAACAGGGTCTTATAATGGGAAGTGTCAGGCAACCATAATAGCAGACAGGTCTGCTAGCCCTGTCTATAATCTCTCTCTGTATACACATACATATACACCTCTACCCCGATATAACATGAATTCAGATATAACGCGGTAAAACAGCGCTCCGGGTGGGCGGGGCTGCGCACGCTGACGGATCAAAGCAAGTTCGACATAACACAGTTTCACCTATAACGTGGTCAGATTTTTTGGCTCCCGAGGACAGCGTTATATCAGGGTAGAGGTGTATATATATTCTGTCCACAGGAATTACCTAAAGTCCATCCCCCCCCATTGATCTTCCCACTCCCATATGTATCAAAGCATTTAGACTGTGCACATCCTAAGTGCCCCCATCCTAAACTCTCTCCGCACATTTCCCTGTCCCCCTTCTCTACGCTCCCTCACTAGTTTGTGCTCCTCTCCAGCCCTTTGCTACTCCACTTCACCTCCCTGCACTCCTCCCATTCTGGGTATTGAGAACAGGTGCTACTGCTGTCTCTTTACCTCTCCACTCCCTCACATGTTCTAGAGAGGGAGGTAGGAGCACAGTTTACCTGGTGAGCTAGCACTACTGGGTGTGCCCACACTGTCATCCAGCCACACACTCTGAACCAGGGAATCCCGCTTCTGAGGAACCTCAAGAGAGCACATCAGCTCCTGGAAAGGGGAAAGAAGGGATATTTTAGGAAGGAACTTTGTAAACATGGACAAACCCAGTGGACCCAGAAGAAAGTAGAATTTAAAGAAAGGGGGATCTCTCGGGAGGACACAACTGGATGCGGGGGGAGGGGAGTGTGGGGGGAGGGGAATCTCTTGGGGAACTGTTGTATTAATTTTGATGGAATAAATGGGCCCAAAAAGTCACTGTTAATGTGCCACTGTCCAACATTAAACAGTTCAGGGTTTGGTATACAGAGACCTCAGCCTACTTAGTAACATGGCAAACACACCATTACAAATCTTTTACCTTTTATTAAAGATACAGAAAAGAAGGAAAAATAGTCAAAGCATTTGAAATATAAAGTTTTACATAAGGCTTTCATTTTAATAACATCTCTTGTTCCCTTTCCCTTTAACTGGAGAGAGTTTTTAGAAGGAAATCCTCCATCTAGCAATCTTAGATGGTATTAAAAAGGATAATAACTATCCTTTATGGGGAAAAAAGAAGTTAGCTGAGGGGAGCTGGAGCTTCCTCTGAAATCTGATCCAGTTTTCTTGAAAACAAAACAACACAGACACATAAAAGGGATCAGAAAAGATAGAAAATGCAGCTTCTATTTCTGGTGCTGACTCTCATTTGCAATCTTGCTGCTGGAGAAACACAGCACATGGTCTAATCACCCAATCTGAGACCTGGCAAACTTGTACCAGCACTGGGCCGTTTAAGACATTGCTTTTTGCTACCTTCCTGGTGGCAGGCCTACAGTAGTGTCGCAAAAATAAATAAATAAATAAATAAAAATGCAGTCTCGGCCAAATAAGCCAGACTGTTATTAAACAGAAGGAGAGAGACAGAAAGAAAATAAATAAGGTAGGGAAGGAAAAGGATGTTGCTGGGCAGCGGGAGAGAGGGAGACATAAAGTCTCCCATCCCAGGTGGTGGTTGGCATTTAGCTGATGGAGGTGGCAGGGTCATCTGGGTCCTTCTCTCTGGCATAGTCTAATCAGGACATCTCTCAGGATCTGGATGACAAAGGCCCAGCAGTGTCATGGTGATTCCCAGGGTCCCAAGAGACAATGGCGGTGGCAGCCATGATGGTGAAGCTTGCTTCTTCTTGTACTCCCGTCTTTCATTCAGCCCCCATCTTCTAACTTTCCCCAAAAAGTCTTTTGGAGGACCCCAAGAGCGATTGATAAGTGGAATTGCTCATCCCCTCATTAAGTGTCCTCCAAATACATTAGAAGCAAGAGGAAGACCAAGGACAGAGTAGGCTGATTACTCAATAGGCAATAACAGAAAATGTGGAACTGGCAGAAGTGCTAAATTACTTTTTTGTTTCAGTTTTCATCAAAAAGGTTAGTAGTGATCGGATGTCTAACACAATGAATGCCAGTGAAAATGAGGTAGGATCTGCAGCTAGCCTCTGAGTCCCTAGCTTCTGTTTGCCAGAAGCTCGGAGTGGGTAATAGGGGATGGATCACTCAGTGACTTCCTGTTCTGTTCACTCCCTCTGAATCCCACCTGGCATTGGCCACTGGTGGAAGACAGGATACCTGGCTAGTCTGACCCAGTATGGCTGTTTTTATGTTCTTATGTAAAATAGGGAAAGAACAAGTTAAAAATTACTTAGACAAGTTAGATGTTTTCAAGTCGACAGGGCCTGATGAAATGTAACTTAGAATGCTCAAGGAGCTGACTGAGGAGATATCTGAGCCATTAGCAATTATCTTTGAAAACTCATGGAAGACTGGAGAGATTCCAGAGGACTGGAAGAAGGCAAATATAGTGCCAATCTATAAAAAAGGGAATAAGGACAACCCAGGGAACCGGGAAAGACAATGGAGCAAATAGTCAACCAATCAATTGCAAACACCTAGAATATAAGAAGGTAATAAGTAACAGTCAACATTGATTTGTCACGAACAAATCATGCCAGACCAACTGAATAGCTTTCTTTGACAGAGTAACAAGCCTTGGTGAATGGGAGGAAGTGGCAGATCTGGTATATCTTGACTTTAGTAAGGCATCTAATACTGTCTCACATGACCTTCTCATAAACAAACTAGGGAAATACAACCTAGGTGGAGCTACTATAAGGTGGGTGCATAACTGGTTGGAAAACATTCCCAGAGAGTAGTTATCAGTGGTTCACAATCAAGCTGTAATGGCATATTGAGTGGGGTTCTGCAGGGCTTAGTCCTGGCCCATTCAATATCTTCATCAATTATTTAGATAAAGGCATACAGAGTACACTTATAAACTTTGCAGGTGATACCAAGGTGAGAGGGGTTGCAAGTGCTTTGGAGGATAGGATTCAAATTCAAAATGATCTGGACAAACGGTCTGAAGTAAATAGGATGAAATTCAATAAGGACAAATGCAAAGTACTCCACTTAGGAAGGAACAATCAGTTGCACACATACAAAATAGGAAATGACTGCCTAGGAAGGAATACTGTAGAAAGGGATCTGGGGGGTCATAGTGGATCACAAGCTAAAGTTGAGTCAGGAATGTAACACTGTTGACAAAAAAAGCAAACATCATTCTGGGAGGTATCAGCAAGAGTGTTGTAAGCAAGACATGAGAAGTAATTCTTCTGCTCTACTCCGCGCTGATAAGGCCT